AGTGATGAATGAAAAAACTTAAAAAAGAAATGTATTACAAAAATATATACCATACCAAAAATGTTTTCCATACCTATGAATATGGTATGGAAAACATTTTTGGTATCTGGAAAAACTGAAAGTTGAAAAAATTATCAAGAATTGCAAAAACAGATAATCCCATAAATACATAAGAAAAATAATCATTAGCAATGGTTGTTTTTCTGATAAACTCTAATGTTTTCTATTAAAATTCAATTGACCAAATTCTATTTTAATATAGTTTAAAAAATTTATTAAAAAGTGTTCGCTTTTTTATTGAAACGATTTAATATTTTCTGGTATGAAAGCTTTTAAAATAGCACTGAAATCGGTCCAAATGAGAAAGCAATTAGTTATAAGAAAAGACGTAATTTTTGTAAACTTAAATGAATTTTGTAAACTTAAATGTGATACTTTTAAAACTGTTTTTGTGACATGTAATTCAAATCTAAATGAACAAATTTTTATTACTGTTTATTAAAAACGACTCAATCTAAGTTTTAAATGAGCATGTATCAATTATTTTCACTTTGGGTTGGGTTAACATACAACTTAAGTTGAATTTTAAATTTTAAGTTAAAAACGCAAGAATAAAAATATCTAAAAGTATATTTTATTTTTAAAAAGTTTTCAATTAAAATATAAAAATTATATAGCTTTTTAAAAACCACTAAAGTTCTTTATTGTTATTATTTTACAGATGTTTTTAATGAAATTCTTACACTGGTCGTTTAAACTTATCAAGTTTATTTATTTAAGTTATTAAGATAATTATGTCAAAACAATTCAAAAAAATCTTCAACTACAAACCATTTTTTACCTTAAAGACACTTACCTAAAAGTAACAATAAATAAACATATTTTTTTGCTTTTTTTTTTAATATTACATAATTATGTAATACTATATATATATATATGTATGTGTGTGTGTGTGTGTGTGTGTGTGTGTGTGTGTGTGTGTGTGTGTGTGTGTGTGTGTGTGTGTGTGTGTGTGTGTGTGTGTGTGTGTATATATATATATATATATATATATATATATATATATATATATATATATATATATATATATAAAACAAGATTTATGGTATTAAATAAAACTTTGAAAAACATTAAAGCAATTGTTTTGAAATGTTATTCAGCAAAAGATTCTATAACATTCTTAACTAAAATATTTGTCTTATTTTTTATACTTTATATTTTGCATACATAATTTTGATTTGCTGAAAGATATGCAACAATAGAATTCAAAATTCTGAATCTGAATTTTGAATTGTTATATTCAAAATGATATTTGCTAAGTCCTGCAGATGTTATGAAAGATAACACATAGTACCACAGGTGCTGGCTTCTCAGGCAACTGTCCAGAAGCTTTCATAGATTGAACAAACAGCTCAAAAGCACTTTGATTGTTTGCGTTTTCCGCTTCTAATCTTACATTTTGTTCCAATTCAAGCACATTTAAACGACCTCTGATTTCCTTCTAAACAAAAAATGAGAGTGATTTAAATGAGCAGTAATTTTATTTAAATGTTTATTATAGACCAGTAAATCAATTAAATAACCGGTAAATTAATTTTTTGACTAAAAAATACCAAAATGTTTTTTTTTTAAAAAGTTCATATAGAAGACCAGAAAAGTTCGAAAACATTTAAAAAAAATTTCTTTATATTGATAGATAGTTCTCCCAAACCAAAACTCTCAAATGATGAAAATAAACTCCCTGCATGTGTTAACTATTCAAGTTGATAATAACATTAACGTTGATAATAAGATCGATGTTGATAATAACATCAATGGCATTTTAATAATAAAAATCTGATAAACTTGTTTTTTTTTACTAGTCAAAATTATTTAATGGTCATTTTAATAAATCTACTGATCATTTTTTCTAATTTCTTGATTATTTTAAAAGATTTACCAAGCAAACTTACTATTATCTGAATAAAAAAAATACTGATCATTTTATGAAATGATCAGTATTTTTGATCTACTGATCATTTAATATAATCTGATAAAGGATTTTTAAAAACTCTTTTACGATAACCATGATAAAAGATTCTATATAAAACCACTAAAATAATCTACTTAAAAGCATAAACCCTATTTAAAAAAATATTTTTTTAGACTTATTTTTATTGCTGATATTAGTTGTAAATTGACAAGTTTGGACAATAGCACTGTTTTAATTGCAGATAAATATTGTTGAACTAAACAATGTTTACCACTGTTGTATTCGAATTGAGAAAAAAATTTAATTTTTATTCTCTAAATACCCTAATAAAAAAAGATATCTTAATGCAACATTTAAACATCTAAATTTATGAAAATTTTTTGCTTTTTTTTTCAGTTCATTTGACATAATGCAAAATAAGTTGATTATCCAGAGATGTGGTGGATTTGACCACAGCATCTCTACTTACTATGCAAGCCCTCTATTTCTACATTTCTACCACATTAAAACTACATTACATGAAAAATATATAAAAATGGTATAAAATTAAAGTTGAAATAATATTGAGTAAAAAACAGATTTGTAAACAAAACCTTTATGCAACTATTTTTTTTCTCTTGTTGCTGGTAACTAGAATCAAAGAAAAGATCTAGAGTACCTATTTACTAATATAAATTAAAATTATTTTTTTTTATCTTATACGCTAAACACTGCTGCAACCAGTTGATACTTATAGTATAAAAGGATAACCCCAAAAATTGCTAAAACTTTACGTTCAACAGCTTACAACAACATAAGCTATAAAGAAAATAATTAAATGCAAATTCTAAAAAGAGTGAGCTTATGATTTGATCATTTGATTTACAATTTTACCACAATATGTATTTGTGATGTTATATTATTACAAAAATAAATAATAAGTTGACAAATAAATGTTAATCAAAGTTCAAAGCAAACAAATTTTAAATTATTCTCAAGTACATTAATTTAGTAAAAAAGGAAAAAACAGCTTCAATAAATTAAACTAGTAATAACTAAAAGTTATTACAAATTGTAGGATATATAGAGAATTAAAAAAAGGACTTTTTTAAGCTTAAAATAATGTATTGTTTATGAGCTACTCATTAATTTTTGAAGTCAACAATAAAAGTGTCAACAACAAAAAACATTGTGCCACTTGTATTTGTTACTTTTATATAGAATCTTTTATAGTACAAAACTAGTATGTGTGTATATATCATCCCTCTGAATTAGGGTCAGCATTCGCCAATGCCAACCTAAAAGTTTATGTGGTCAGCATAAAATTGCAGACCTCATTTCTATCTTTTATGTTAACCTCTTTGTGTCAATGAGGTGCTGACCTCATTTTCTCTAATTCAGAGGGTTGCTTTATATATACATATATACATATATATATATATATATATATATATATATATATATATATATATATATATATATATATATATATATATATATATATATATATATATATATATATATATATATATATATATATATATATATATATATATATATATATATATATATATATATGTATATATATATATATATATATATATATATAGTCTTCTCTATTTGATGAGCGCTTTCGCGCTCTTGCACTTTTTTAAGCACTTGCCAAAAAATTTCAAATGTATTTTTAAATTGCAACAAATCTTTTTTTTTTTAAATCAAATTCTAATTAAAGAGGAACAAAAAACAAATATTTTTAAAATCACACACCTTTGACAAACAATTACTGTCCGGCCAGCGCTTTTTCCTGCGCTGGTGGTAAATTTCAAACAGAGAAGACTGTATATATATATATATATATATATATATATATATATATATATATACACACACACATTTTCAGCAAAACATGCCCTTATAAATAGTTAGTATATTAACAAAACACTAGAAGTTAAGTTACCTTTTGATGTTCAGATTCGGAATGCCTTTGTATAATATTTAATAAATTAGATGATTGTATTCGAGTGCCACCACTAACCACAGATGAGTTAACAGCTGGTTGAATAGGTGTGAAGTAAGGTACAACTGGACTTTGAGAATGCCCTTAAATGGTTATTTGAAGTTGAGTTAAAAAAATCTGGATTTATAATAATATATTAAGATTTTATGAAATGAATTTTTAAAAAATATAAAAAAAATAACATAACAGCAAATAGCATTTTCTATATTAGGTTATTTTTATTTTATAAACCAATGTTGCAACAAATTATGTAATTTAAACAAAATATTAGAGGAATGACAAAAGATTTGTCTAAACTATGATGTATTTTATCCTTTTGCCATACTTAGTGCTAATCTTTTGCACTTAGCATAAACTTTGGTTTGAGGCAGACACATTTTGAAAATTTATCTTATCTAAGATCATAACTTATAATTAGATTTAAAATCATTAAAATATATTTTGGAGCTCAAAAGATACACCTATATAAAGTTTAGGACTCCCAATTTTTTAATGTTTTACATCTTTAGAAAAAGAGTGATAAATATATAAGATACTGTTTCTAAATCAATTTAATTTTTAATCTTCCTATTTTATATCAACCTACTGAGAAATGAGTGGCTTAAAAAAATCATAAGTAAATACAACTTTAACTGTAAACCTTTAAAAAAATAGCAGTGTCTTTTTACTTGAATAAAGCAAGTTAAAAAATATTAATTAGTCCATTCATGAATGCCCTAAAATGTCTAAATTTAATCAAGCAACTGTATTAATCAGAGCATATATTGGGTTTTACCCTTTTCTTAAATTTTTCAAAAATAATTTTACCTGAAAAAATTTCATCAGGTAAAAAAGTAGCACTAGGAGGGCGAGAACCATTGTTATTACTTGAGCAACTGTTACGTGAACTACTCCGTGACTGGTTTTGAAACCACTGAGTAAAACGACTTTTAACACCATCCCCATTTACCATATCTTCATGAAACTGAAAAAAATTAGAGAAAAAAATTTTAATAAAAAATTTAAATTAAATTTAAAAAAAGTAGCCAGCTGTGATTAACTCATAATATTACAACATTATATTACAAAAAACAAAACTGAAATAAAGATGGATTGAACTAAAATAAAAATAGCATGGTAAACTACACAATAGGATGTTCCCGCCCCAAATGTAACATTTTTTATAAGGTACCAACCTTATCAACCAACCCATCTACTAAGAACCGCACTCTCCGTTAATAATACAAGAACCATTAAATATTTTGATATAATTTTTACACATGATATCATAAATATATTTTTGTGCATAATTAAAAAAAAAAATTTAATATTTAAAAAACTAGATTATTTTTTTTCTTCTTTTCAAGAATAATTTTTGAGCAGTTTTGCGCCTGCCAATACTACAGGAGGCGCTTTTTTAAGCACTCGCCAAAAAATTTCAAGCGCGTTTTTAAATTGCAACAAATCTTTTTTCTTAACCAAATTCTAATTAAAGAGGAACAAAAAACAAATATTTTTTAAAATTGTATATGTCGGACAAATAACTACTGTCCAGCCAGCACTTTTTCGTGCGCTGGCAGTAAATTTCAAACAGAGTAGACTGTCAATAGTTTTCTTTATTCAACATTAAGGCATGTTTATTTATCATATCATTTTGTTTTTTATAACTATAAATAAAAAAGGTTTCAGGAGAACAATCTGAGTCCATTCTCTATACATTTCACATCCGTTAAAAAAAATGAAGTACTTTACTACAGAGATAGCCAGAACATTTTTTAACTTATAAAAAGCCGATGTGTTGCATAAAGTTTGTTTCAAATAAAAAAAAGGGTGTTAGCAACAACAACAAGATATTTATTCTTCTTTTTAAATCATACAATAATAATATAATAATAAATCTAGTAATAATAATATTGAATATAATAATAATTTAAAAAAAATCATAATTATATTGATTGTAGAAAGTAAAAATAAATTGATATATATATATATATATATATATATATATATATATATATATATATATATATATATATATATATATAACAATATAAAATAATATAATAATGAGTTAGTAACAATATAAAATAATATAATAATGAGTTATAATTAATTAGTATTTAACAATAATAACTAAATGATTGATAAAGATGGTGTCACTAAAACAGAAATCTGATCAAAGGAGTGACACCTGTATTTATATATAATATGATTAATAATAAGCATACACACATACAACATACATAAACTGAGTAAACATTTAAAAATCATACTTCAAGCCTTCCCAGGAAAGGTGTGCGGTTTTTTGTCTCGTACGACCACGAAAACGTTTTTCAAGTTTGAGAACGTGATCACGGCTGTTTGCGCAAGTTATATTATATGCATTACTAAAAAATTGTTTTAAATTTAATAACTACATAATTACGGTTTTAGGCGTTAAAAAGGATATTTTATGTGTTTTTTCTTTTAAAGAGAAAATATGTATCGTCATCTGTTTGTAAAATATATTTGTATAAACGTAATGTAACAAGTTTATATCAAGGGTTAAATTATACGATCGCGATTTGCAAACTCTGGTAAAATATTAGGTCTTTAAAATTTTAGTTCATGCAAAGCTGTGTACTTTGTTTATAAGGAGCAAATTATTAAAAGTTTGCTAGCGAGAAAGTTACAAAAAACAAAACAAAAACAATAAACTTACGACTACAAAAGTAATAACACTTTAGTCACTAACTGCATTATAAAAGTGATAAAACTATAATAGTGTTATTACATTTATAAAGCACTTATTCAGGCCTTGTGATGAATAAAAACTGTGCGACGCATAAGCACGACGTAATTTTTGACGTCATTAAATTCTTTTTATTTGCTTTTCATATTTTTCGACATTAACTGCACCAATTTACTTAATTACCGCAAAACTACTTTAAATCATTAATGTAGAAATGTTATTATTTTAAAATGTTTCGGAATGTTTCGTTTTTTAAATGTAAAAACATTTGTTTATTTTCTCGACGTTTGACACGTTTTGTCTATACTAAACTAATAAAAAACATTATAACTAAACATTTAAAAAAGATTATAAATGCTAATATTTGATTTTTTTTTCTCTCAAATATGTAATTTAAAGTTTTTCAAATAATTATTTTTTCTTTTTAAAAAGTCAGCAAGTAATAAACTGGAAATTTTAATATTGTTCGATTGTAAACTGTGCAATAGCTAATATTTTTACCAGCGATTTTATATAATAATTTTTTATTTATTTATTTTTATTTATTTTCATAAAGCGGTTGATAAGCACAATCACTCGTATTACTAAAAAACTTTAACAAAGATTTTGAATAGATTTTTAATGTTTACAAGGAATTTTATTTCTAGTAAAATAAAATAAAATGAATAAAAGAGTTAGAATAAAAATCTTTGCGCAAATAAAATATTTTTATTTGTGCTTACCAATTTTTAAAATGTTTCCTCAAAATTACTCTTAAATACTTTAAATACGTCAAACAGTTAATAAATATTTTTAAATCTATGGAATAATTTTAAAACCTAACAAACCCCCGTAGAATAATTATTTAAGTTAAAAATCTAAAACTAAAAGAAAGTATTTTTGTTCAATTTTATCGACAACTTTGCTATTGCCGAATATTTTTATTAAAATGTTAGCTTAAAAAGATTTGAACTTTTTTTTTAATCTGAACTTTTTCTTCTTGTAAATAATGAGCATATTTAATTTTTTTCTAATTCAAACTTTTGTATCAAATGCGTGCGGCTTTTATTACTTTATTAAATGTCAAAATAATCTTAAATTACTTCATTAAAATTCCGCTTAAAAATATCTTTAAATATACTCAAATAAAATTTTTTTTTGCTTGACAAAAATAGCCCTAGCTACACGCAAAATCGCTCTTGGACGACATAAAATTCACATCGCCCGACGCTTTATCGCAAGGCCTGCTTATTACTTTTAAAGTTCTTTCTTTGTTTAAACAACATTTTTAATTCCAAACATTTATTAAAGTAGAAAAGCATCAAGAAAAAAATAAAGCGGATATTCAAGTATTATTAAAAATTTCAGGAACTTTCACAGATCACTTAAACAATGTTATAAAAAAATACTTTATGAAAAGTATAGCATTATGAAAACGTTACGTAAAAACACGCATTAATTTTAAAATCAACCAATAAAACATTTTTTTCGGTTAATATGACGCGCGTTTCAACTGTCCATTAGTAACGTTTTTCATAATGCTAAACTTTTAATACAATACGTTTTTATAAGTTATTTAAGTTTTAATATTATTTGAACATCCACTTTATTCTTCTAGATATTTTTCTACTTCAATTAAAATTTGGGAATACTAATGTCGCTTGAACAAAGAATGAATTGTAAAAGTTATAAGTTTGTTATAAAAGTAATAACATTATTATAGCGTTATTACTTTTGTAATGTAAAGTTAGTGACTAGAGTGTTATTACTTTTCTAATTGTAAGCTTATTGTTTTATTTTTTCGCTAACAAATTTAAGTTGATTCGCCCTTAAAAACAAGGAACACGGTTTTGTATAAATTAAAATTTTGAATACTAGATATTTTTCCAGATTTTGCGTTTTGCATTCGCTTAATTCAACCCTTGTTGTTACATTAAAATTATACAAATAAATTTTACAAACACATTGCAATTTGTATTTTTGCTATCCTCATAAAAAAACATTAAGAAAAGAAAAATCATTCTTTTTATTGTAGACTTCAAACTGTTTTTTTTTTTTTGCTTCGCCTTATCTAATTTTGTTGCTGAATGTTACTCTAAAGAAACAAAAATATAAAAAGTACACAAATTATTTAAATTATTAATTTGTTTTTTATTTTTTTCTATTTCAATCTCTTTTTATTTTGTTAGTTTAGTTTTGTTTTGTTTTTGAAACTTTTTCAGCATTATTATAAAACTTGCAAACAGCTGTGTTCACATTTTCTAAATTAATATAATCGTGGTCATTTCTAAATTAATATAAGTGTGGTCATATGAGACGAAAAACCGCATGCTTTTCCTGGGAAGGCTTGTACTTTGATGATAATAATAAAAAATAAAAAAACAAGAAGTTAATGATAATAGTTTTAGTAATCATAATTAAAAAAATAAGAGTATATTTTAAATATTCAGTGAAATACATGTCAATAAGTTAAAATAAATATGTTCTCAGAACTTTTTTAAATTGATTTTGTTTAAGATTAAGAAAAGACCTATAAAGGTGTTTGAAGTTAAAGTTTTTTGAACTCATTCACTATGTATACAACTCTTGCTCCATTCACAAATGCACCGATAGACAACAGAATGTAAAATAGGATATTTAAACAAAATATTCTATTTTACATTCAAATGAAATAGAATATTTTAACAAAAAAAACTAAAAAAAGAAAAAAAAGAAAATTAAAAAATATATATATATATTTTACTGTTTTTTTTTGTGGATGTTTGTTATTTTCCACTGCCAAAATTAATAGTCAAGAAAGAAAGCAGATAAGAAAATAATGAAAACAAAAACATTTTTTGATATACAATTTATTTGTGACTTTCGTCAGTCAGTACATTAAGGAAATACTATATTATATGCGCTATAAATAAGGACAATTTTAAAATTTGTTTTTCAAATGTTTTTGCTAAACTTTACTGTTTTTATCAAAGCACAGGAAAGCAAGAAAATTTATTGCTTTTTATTTGTAAAATTTACTTTTTATTTTTTATCAATTTTTTTTTAACGTAAAATAATGCCAAGTCATTAATACTAATGTCCAAATATAAAATATTTAAAGCTTACATAGTGCCATTATTTAATTGTGTGTCATAATAAGACTATAAAATGTTTCCTAATTAAATTAATTTTTAGAATTTGCTCAACATAACTTAGAGTTCAAAAAACAAGTTTTTACAACTTATTCTAATGTTTATAATGTTCAGCTTATTATTTATATAAAAGTATTATCAAATTATTAGTATTATCAAGTTTTAATTTTGTTACTGATATGAGAAATTACTCAAATTTCTCGATAAATAAATTGTTATGGCAATTTTAACAAACTCAAAACTTATTTTCTGTTTATTTACAAACAAACATAACTTCTCTCAGCATTTGGGAATGCCTTTATTACTTTGAAACTTAATTACGTGAAAAATATAAAACTTGATTACATGAAATTTTGAAAATATAATATTTTATAATGTCTATAAAAAAAATAAAACTACTAGAAAAAAGTTATATTAAAAGGATTTGAACCCGCACCTCCATATCAAGCTGACAGCAGCTTCATAATGTTGAACTTTGTTATATCTAGAGTTCTACACTAACAAAATTTTAAATAAAAAAATAATAGATTAAACATTTTTCACTAACACATAATATTTACAATGTGGGCTACATAAAATGGAACACTTTTAAAATTAACATATATGTATATTATTTTCATGGTTTTATTTTTTCAGTTTTATCTTTTATTTATTTTCTCAATTGTTAAAATGATGTATCTTTTTACTAGTATATAATTTTTTTTATTGTAATTTTTTCCTTAGCTTAGTTAGATTTTTTCAGCACATTAAAAAAAAAAAGTGCAAATTATCATATCATATTGCGGCCAAATTTTTAAAACAAAATATTATATGCATGATCAGGAAAGGAGTGTGACCACACATGCCTCTGGCAAAACACTGCAAATACTAAAAACATTCAATGTGTTAAGCAAGCCCTAAATAATGTTACTTTCAGCCAAACTTTTTTTTTATAGCCTTTCTATAACAAGCATAATGTAACAGAGGGTTAAAGAACAATATCCTGATATTATCATTTTTTAGAAGCACCCTGCTAAACAAGCTATAAATTATAAGAAAGGCCAAAAGTATTAAAACGTGTAAAAATTTTATTTCTATAAAACTTAATCAACTATAACTGTAGATTTCTGAAAACCTCAGAAACTATTTATAATATGAAAGTAAAATAAACTCACTAAATGAGGAGGGTAGTAATTAACTTCATTAAAAAACTCGTTAATGTCAAACATTTTATCCGAAGGAGTTGCAGATTTTTTTTCAGAATCTTTTTTTACAGCTTCAACTGGTTTGGAAGGTTTCATTTCATTCTCAGTAACAACATCACATTTTTGTAAACCCTTTTTCTTTGCATATGCTAAAAAAATTAAAAAAAATATAAAGACATTTTAAGAGTTACAGATAAATACAACAATTTTTAAAACTGATTATATTTTTTTCTAATTAAAATTTTATAAAACAACATAAAATATATAAAATAAATTAAGTCACTGTAAAAAATTATTTATGGCATAAAAAAATAATTCATTGTACAAAATATTTTGAAATACTGGCTTGTTTACATGTTGGACAGTGGACTTATTTAAGCCAAAAATGATAACTTAAGATAAGACTTGAATCCCAACCTAGAATTAATGTGTTTTTTGTACCTTTCTTTTCTTCCTCTATATCTTTAAAACCACCTAGCTCAATAACTTCTATTTGATTAGTTGGTGCATCAGTCATCCATTCAGGATACCGCTCTTCTAAAAGTTAAGTAATATAACTTAATCTGTTGCTAAAAATTAAAGGTATCATCAAGTTAAAATAATTTCAAATCTTTTTCATTTGATGTTACCACCAAGATTCACTTGTTTTTAGAAAAATGTCATTCTAATCAATGACATATTACAACAACTTTAGCAAACATATTGATCTACTCTATATTTATTTTATATTTTATACTTTATTACAAAATGAGATCATTTGTGGCTATAATAATTAAAAAACATCAGATAATACAAAACAATGAAAAGTCTTTAAAAAATCAAAATTTTAGCAACCCCCCCCCCCAAACCTAAAAACAGCATTGTTTACAGGATTAATATTTTTGCTCCTTTGTGGATTGCAGCAATATTAATTTGTAATATAATTAGGTGCTTTCTAATTATATTAATTTTTATTTTAGTTTCAACACAAATTTGTAATTTAGAAAAAAAGAAATTGGACTTGGTTTGAAAGGTAACCTTATAAATATGAACAAGTAAACATAATTTAGTACGGAAAGCAATTTTTTTAGATTTATTATATATTAGATTATATATATGGTATTATATTACCAAAATTATAAATACATGTCAATCAATAATCACATAAAAATTTTGAACGTGATCAAATCTAATACTTCTTAGATCTTATTTAATATATCATTATAAACACGATTAAACCAAGGGAGCTTGTTATTATAAAAACAAGAAAATTCAGGTTTAGAAATCACTTTTTTTTTTTGCATTAAAATACTAAATAGGACAGCCATGAACCAAAACCACACTTTAAAACTAGTGTTATTACAACTTTTAAATAACTAGAATGTCAACTTAATTGACTAATATATTTTCTAAAGTTGACTAAAAACAACAAATATTTTTTTGAAATGGACTAAGTTGACTAAAAGTTGATTTAATCGAAGTATGGAAATTATTTTTTTGAAATAAATTGTCATAAAAACAATAAAGTAATTTATATTCACTTTCTATTTTTTAATATTATATCATTTAAATAATAATAAAGGAGAGAAGGACAAAAAGAACAATCTATTCCCAGATCCCAATGATTTAGGGACCACCTTAAATACTTGTTATATATCAAAAAAGTCCTTAGAATCATATTTGTAATATGATTGTACAGATTAATGACATTTGAAATTTGGAGCTTCACAACTTAATTTTGCCCCAGGACCCTAGCTTGGAGCAGCATGAAAGTATTTATGAAAATCACAAGCATTGAGAAAAAAAAAAAGAAAAAAATTTAATCAAATACATAATCAAAAGTTTTATTAGCTATAATAATACTAACATGCTATGAATTAGATAAAACTTTAAGAGAGTAAATAAAAAACTAGGTAATAGTTATTTAATAATAATAGTACATACAATTGTTATTAAGTCAACAATCAAAAATTAAAGATTGCAAAGTTAAACCGAAATGAAAAGATATAAGTATTTAAAGATTTTTATTCAACTAAATTGACTTTAAGCCTATTAGCAGGAAGTCTATAGTCAATTAAATCAACAATTCCCTTTTTCAGAGTTAAATTATTTTAACTTAGCCAATTTAGTTGAAGGCGATAACAACACTATTTAAAACCCATTGGTCATTTTCTAAGCTCCACACAGAGAAGCACTGAAACATCAGGTTAAATAAAAAATTTAATTTTATTCAAAAATACTGATAAATGACACTTAAAAATAAAATATTTTTAAACACGTGTTTTGCTTAATCACAACTGTTGTTTTTAGATATAATGAATTGGAATTTGATGTGAAAAGGGATAAAGATCATTAAAAAAATGTTGATCACTTTTGAATTTTTCTGACTAAAATTTTGCAACTATTTTTAAAACATAAAACTACTTTTGAAATAAAAGTAGAATCTACCAATTGAAATAAAGAGTAAGGGTTGGGGAGCAAATGTAAGCTCACATGACATACATGTACATGCAAAAGACAGGATATAAAAAACAATTGTTAATTCAAAATATATTTAATTTTTTGTGTTTGATTGAGTGATAAACATATTTGAGAGATGTTATTTTATTATCTTCTATTAATCTACAAAAATAAACTGTCAAAAAAACATTATTTAATTTTTATATAACGCTGCTTTAAAAAAAAAAAAAATCTTTTACTTTATAGCATTATTTATTAAGAATACTTGATTGGTTTAACAATACTCAATGATTTAAAGAAATCTTTTTTTTTTACATTGACTTCTCTACTAACTTGATGTAAAGCCAGGTTATCCTGCTACTGGCAACATATAACCCAGTACAGCCTGCTTTATGTCCTGCTGCCTTAAAGGATATGCTTTTTAGGCAAAGGCTAGGAAAAACCGACACAGACTTAACACACCCTCTGCCTTGGGGATCTTGATTGAGTAAAGACTAGAGATAGTGTCTTAATAAAAAATACTTATCTTGGGAAGACATTAAACGCATTTGGCTACTGTATTGTAGAAGGCCTCTTAAGCATAGATTTAAGAGGTAAACAGATTCTATCTGTAGACCAGCTTTGCACCCTTTCTTTATCTGTTAGGCTGGCTTAGATATCTTTATAAAACACTGTTTCCGTTTTAGGATGTTGAATGCTGGATTTTCTTGACTCAATGATTGGGTTTTGCTTGTCTCTGTTTTTATGATTAGAAAACTCATACTATTATCATACTATTATCTCCTAATGAGGGTACAACTCTAAAACTCAATTATATGGTTTTGAGTTTTTTTTCCCAAATTCTCCTAGTATAAAAAGTTTTAGAACCTTGTCAAACCAACGCAACAAAATAAGAATTACTTAATGACATAATTCATTTTATTAACGAAAAAGCGCCAGAACTTTAGTAAATAAATGTAGTTTTAACTTAAATTACAAAAATTTAAAATAAAAATGTGCTTTAAATAAACATCGTTATTTTATAATTTAAATGTAAAAACGTAGCATTTAATATTCTTTCGCATCTATAATTAAAAAACTCAAGTTTTCAAACTAAATATTTGTTACATGAAAAATGCCTTAATTCTTTTTTTATTTTCTTGAAATTTATATATTTTGTAAAGTATAAAATCTGACTAACAACAATTTGAACATGTTAGCTCCATTTTCACGCTAAATCAATTCCTTTTATGCAAATAAATTTAATGGCTTAAGTAACATTTTACAATGATACTTTTTTTTATCATGCGACTATGAGAAAAAGCCTAACTTTTGAAATCATAAAAATGACTTAAATTAATTTTAATACTAAAGGTATATTTTAAATAAACTTGTGTCTACATCGATATTTATTTGCTAAACGTTGACGAAAAAGAGAATAAAATATGACTACTTTTTTATTTTCTACTCTGGAATTGCATCCACACACACACACACACATATGTATGTATGTATGTATGTATGTATGTATGTATGTATGTATGTATGTATGTATGTATGTATGTATGTATGTATGTATATATGTATGTATGTATGTATGTATGTATGTATGTATGTATGTATGTATGTATGTTAGGGCTCTGTAAATCTTCGAAATTTTTAATTAAATCAGAAAAAATTTAAAATTTGATTCAAAAAATTCTATATATTCAAATCAAACTAAAACATTCAGTAAATAAAAGTTGATACTCGACTTTTTTTTTAAATTACACATTGTAATTTAAAAAAAAGGTTAAGTATCAACTTTTAATTATAAGGGGTAATAGGACAAAGAAAAAAGACATTTGAATTCCTACAGTGTCAACATAACATAAATTATTCTGTAATGAAATAAATGATACTGCATTAAGTTATAAATCAAGGTCATATAATAAATAGTTACCCTAAATCTCTATTTAAATACATTAGAGCATGTGACATATTCTTTCAAGAATTTTTTATAAGTAATAGAAATAGGGATATATATACAGGGCTGGAAATAAGTGCAGGACATCTGGCATTGTCCAGCACTTGTCCGGTAAAAATGACATCTATCAGTCATTTTGTCCACCCCATATTTTATGTACATTTTTTAAAAAATCATTTTAGTTGTTGCAAAATTATTAATAAATTCAATATTCTATGAAACTTTATTTTTTGAACTTTTTATGTTTTATACAAAACAAAATTGAAGTTAAACACATGGCTATGTGATAAAATGTCATTTTTTAAAAGACGCCAAGCATTACATTTTATTTGAATTAAGCAGCCTGGTTTTTATCATTTAAATTAAAGCATTGCAATTAGTTATTAATTTAAATTTACAGTTTAGTATTCATTTTTAAAGAATTTATTTTTAAAAAAATTTTAATGTAGTAATTATTTTAATGCTTATAGAAACCAGTACTTTTTATTACACTATTAAATTTTTGCTATTAAAAGTGTTTACAAAATAAATCCTAGAAAAAGTTTGAAAAGATATATAAACATTAAAATAAATTTGTTACTTCATTTAATAAAATAATAAGTAAACTTATAAATCTATGCGTTTAATATATTTACATAGTAAATAATGACTTTATTAATTTTGCATTTTTATTATACCAGGCTTGGTCGGAAAGCAGGTGCGATTGCACTCGATAATCGACCACGGAAATAATATTTAGTTGCGAAAAACTGGCCAGATTTTTTAGCTGTTTTGAGAACATTTCAAAAACAAAGAAAAAAGCGCAATATTACTACATAATATAATATACCGATGAGAGACAGTTAAAACAAGAAAAAAAGCTTTTAACGCGAAAAAACTTTAAGCAAAATAAATAAAATTAGAGCAAATATTTTTGAAACGTCGCTCTTTTATAATTTTTTATAAAATTAAGCGACATTTTTTATATAAAGTAACAACTTACTATTAATGATTGTTTAATTAGGAAACAAATGTTCTTCGATTTATCAAAGAGTATATATAATTTTTATTTATATACTTATGTCTTATTTCCATTTAATGTAGAAATTCAATTAGCTAAATAGAAATTAACTAAAAACGTTAAATTACTATGTGAGGAGGAAGTGGAACTGCTTCACAATTCCACTGATGATGTTTAGTGAGTGGGCTTCATAATTTTAATTAGTATTTAAAACAAAATAAAAGTAACTTTAAGTTTAAGTGTAACGAGTTTGTAAGAATGGCTGAAAGAATGGCTGAAGCAAAAATAATTGAAGTTAGTAAACCAATTTCAAAGAACTTAAAAACTTTTCTTTTTTTGGGGAAAGAATCATTTATCGGGTACACTGAGGAAAATGGATTAATGATTAAAATTATTTGTATTAACTTTGATGATTAATAATAATTTCATTGAAAATGCAGTTATTATTGAAAGTATTTTTGTTTACAAAATCAATCGCACAAATTGCTTTAAAAAATTACATTTGAATAAAATACACATACATAAAATTACATGTATAAAAAATACATACATAAAAATACATTATATACATAAAAAATACATACATAAAAATACATTATATACATAAAAATATATTATATACATAAAAAATACATTACATACATAAAAAATACATCCCTTATATAAAAAATAAGAATATACCAATAAAATCTATAATATATTCACAAAACATTGACAAGTTAAAAAAGATAAATTTAAAATATTTATTTTTGTAAACAAATAATGTTCGTTTAAAACATTTATAGCTTTGTAGATTTGGCTCTGAGGCTTAAAATAATAGTTTGTTTGATATTCTTAAATTAATTTATGCTAGAAATCTCAACGAAAATATAACAAAACTCAAATAATACAATTTTTAAAAATATTTCAACAGAATACTCTAGAAATTTTGGCTAGTATTATTTGAACCAATAGAATTAGTTGTTCGTAGATTTGGTAGCTTTTTTGTGTTTTTTTTTTACTTTTCCGCGCAAAGATGTTTGAGAACATTCGAGTTTATATATGTGTCCATGTATGTCTGTAAACAAAATATTTCAAAATTTGCGATAAAATAATAAACTTAATTAATGAAGCATACATAAATTCAAAACGAATAAAATATCTGGCGGGTTTTTTGCAACTAAATATTATTTCCGTGGTCAGTTATCGAGTGTAATCGCACCCGCTTCCTGACCAAGCCTGTTATACATTTTTATTATATATTAAATTATATATTTTATAATTACATAACTCATGTATTTAATATATTTATGTAATAACTTATTTATTTAATATTTTAGAAAGCATTTCGCATAGTATAGTAATTTTTAAAAAATGTTATATGAATATATTTTCCTTTTCAAATTTTAGCTTTTTAAGTTTTGATTATTTTTTTTTCTTGAACTTTTTTTTTTTTTTTGTTAGATAATTTATCTTACAAATTTTCTTTTTATTTTCAGCACATTTTGAAATGCCTAGATTTGTCAAAACAAATAGTGTGGTCAAGTTGTAAAAACAAAACATTTTATGCATGGTCAGGATTGGCATTTGATCACACTTCTTAAATTTTTATCAGATTTGCCTAGCTAACTTGAGTCTTTATTGGACAAATCCAGTGCAAAAAAGTTCATTTTTTTGAGCCCTGTATGTATGTATGTATGTATGTATGTATGTATGTATGTATGTATGTATGTATGTATGTATGTATGAATGTATGTATGAATCTCTCTCTCTTTACACACACACACACACACACACACACACACACACACACACACATTTATCAAAGTAGAAGTGCTTGAATGATTAACTATTAAGGTAAGTATGCAAAGGTATTATAATATATACCATTAAATTTGATTAGATATCTTCAAAAAGTTGTCAACATAAAAGTAAAATTTAAAATGTTACATAAGTTATGAATTTTAAAGACTAAAAGAAATAATTTTACCATTTTCAGACAAACGATATTTGCCACCTTTTGAGCCGTATTTCTATAAACACAAAAATATATCTATTTAAAAATTTACACAGAAATAAAAAATTCAAACCATTAAACTTATCTATTGACAATACCTACACACACCCACATGTAAATGTATAAGGGACATTTATTATTTCAACAATTTTTTTTGTGCCATTGGAAATTAATTGGCATAAACAATTACCTCACTTAACAACTACAGACCTATTCTTGTGGGGCTACTTCAAGTCTAAAGATTATTTCAAAACATAAATTCTGGAATCCTATAAAAAAATACCCAAAAAGATATGGCCAAATTTAGGCTAAAACACTTTAAAAGGTAATAGAAAATAACTAATATTGTAAAAGTAGATCTGGTGACAACCATTCATCAAGGCACAAACTAAATGATCGCTAAATGTGATATCTGTAAATATTTATGGTCTATTCTTAATTTTATCATTCCCATGGAAAGATGTGAACATTGCTTTAATGAAAGGGTCAATTTACCATATTGGGAAAATTTATGAAAAGACAAAACAATAAATTTATAACTGCAAAAATTATAACAGTCAAAACTTATATAATTCAATTTATTGTTTGTTTTAACACCAGTTAATTTAAGTATAATATATAAAAAACACAGTTAAAATAAATAACTGAAGGTTCAAAAAACGTGAGTGGTAATCTTAATTAATAAAATATCAACATAATTCAAAAATTATATAATAAAAAAGATACAATACCTTTAGAGCAAGTTATTCTAGATCTCTTTTATAAAATACTTTTTGACTTACATAAGAAATTTTTGAAAATAACAAATAAATTTTTTATATTGTTAAGCAATATATCCTTTTTAACAAACTAAAATACTTGAACTTTATAAATATATCCTTTTTAACAAACTAAAATACTTGAACTTTAAAAATGCAAAACTACTCAAATGATTGCCATTTTTAACCATACGAATAAAGATATAAATATATTAAAAAAAAAAAAGGCAAAAAATCTAATAAAATACAGCAAACCTGGCTATCTTTTTCATTTTTTAAAGGACGTTCTTTTGCTTCTTTTTCTTCTCTTTTTTCTTTTTTTGTTATTTCAGTTCGATCTCTTGTAACAGCCTTTTCACCGCTTTTTTCAAACCTGTCTCGATGGCTGTCTTTAAATTTTTCGTCAGTACGATTTTCCTTATAAAGTCCTGTACTTTCATGTTTTATATCCCAATGGGTTTTTTTATCATGCTTTTCATCATTTTGCTCTCTATATTTACTTTCTAAAGACTTGCGCTGAGCCGAAGCTCTTCCAGTTAAACGTGACTTTTTTTCAAATATAGTTCGTGAGACAGATTTTTCTATTCTATCAGTAGTTGGACGAACTTGGCAAGTTTCAGTGGTTGAACGTACTTGACAACCCTGATGAAAACTCTTTCTACGAGGAGCTAATTCAATTTGATCCCTAATCATTCAATAAGTACTATTTAGTTAATTATTACAATAAATATTTTCTATAAACTTACACTTGAATTTTTTTGCCTTCAGAAAAACAAAAAACTTACACTTGAATTTTTTTGCCTTCAGAAGCCAATTTACATTCAACAATGGGAGATTCAGATCTGGATGTACTTGATTTATGCCATGCTTCAGGATCCCAAATTCCCTCTCTTAAAAAAATTAACTATAACAATAACATTTTATATAATAAAAAAATGAAAAAGTCAATGATTAGATGTGTAGAAGTTTATTAATAAAGAAAAAGTGGAAATTCAATAAAACTATTATATGACCAAAACCAAGATAAGTTTGTACTTATCTTGAATGATTATAAGAATAATTTGACTTTGAATCACAGAATAATTTTATGAAAATTAGAACAAAACTATTCTATTAAAACAAAACTATTTTATTAAATAAAAAACTTTTTTCTGATTATGTATACACAGGCTTGGTCAGGAAGCGGGTGCAATCGCACTTGATAACTGACCACAGAAATAATATTTAGTTGCAAAAAACCAGCCAAATCTACGAACAACTCTATTGGTTCAAATAATACTAGCCAAAATTTCTAGAGTATTCTGTTGAAATATTTTTAAAAATTGTATTTATTTGAGTTTTGTTATATTTTCGTTGAGATTTCTAGCATAAATTAATTTAAGAATATCAAACAAACTATTATTTTAAGCCTCAGAGCCAAATCTACAAAGCTATAAATGTTTTAAACGAACATTATTTGTTTACAAAAATAAATATTTTAAATTTATCTTTTTTAACTTGTCAATGTTTTGTGAATATATTATAGATTTTATTGGTATATTCTTATTTTTTATATAAGGGATGTATTTTTTATGTATGTAATGTATTTTTTATGTATATAATATATTTTTATGTATATAATGTATTTTTATGTATGTATTTTTTATGTATATAATGTATTTTTATGTATGTATTTTTTATACATGTAATTTTATGTATGTGTATTTTATTCAAATGTAATCTTTTAAAGCAATTTGTGCGATTGATTTTGTAAACAAAAATACTTTCAATAATAACTGCATTTTCAATGAAATTATTATTAATCATCAAAGTTAATACAAATAATTTTAATCATTAATCTATTTTCCTCAGTGTACCCGATAAATGATTCTTTCCCCAAAAAAAGAAAAGTTTTTAAGTTCTTTGAAATTGGTTTACTAACTTCAATTATTTTTGCTTCAGCCATTCTTTCAGCCATTCTTACAAACTCGTTACACTTAAACTTAAAGTTACTTTTTTTTTGTTTTAAATACTAATTAAAATTATGAAGCCCACTCACTAAACATCATCAGTGGAATTGTGAAGCAGTTCCACTTCCTCCTCACATAGTAATTTAACGTTTTTAGTTAATTTCTATTTAGCTAATTGAATTTCTACATTAATTTCTCAATGATTTAAATATTTCATTTGTTCATCTTACTAAGAAAAATTGTTTTAAATGTGTTAAACTTTTCAAACTACGCGAAGCATAAAACAGTTATTGAAAAAAACTTTTTTTAAAATAAATAAATCACCTAGCATTAGTTTTATTGGTTGAATCTTGTTGGACTTTTTTAGGGCCGGGGACTGCATTATTTTGGCGGCCTTTATTAGTGTCACAGCATAAAAATGACCGAAAAAAATACCTAATGGTCCTCTTGACTATTTCGCGGCCCATAACATTGTGAGTCCCAAGGCTATAGCCCTTCCACTCCCCCTCCTATCTCCTCAATCCAGCACTGGAAATAAGACATAAGTATATAAATAAAAATTATATATACTCTTTGATAAATTGAAGAACATTTGTTTCCTAATTAAACAATCATTAATAGTAAGTTGTTACTTTATATAAAAAATGTGGCTTAATTTTATAAAGAATTATAAAAGAGCGACATTTCAAAAAAATTTGCCGGCTTTTCTAAATATTATTTCCGTGGTCAATTATTGAGTGTGATCGCACCCGCTTCCTGAACAAGCCTGTATAGGGCTATTCCACGTTGTACAAAAAGTTTAATATAAATTTCAAATCCTAGAAAATAAAAAACTAAATGTATCATTCAAAAGTTAAAGGTTTGTAGTTTCTAAAAACATGTAACATGTAGAACTGGTTTTCAAAGAATTTTAGGATTTGATGCTCAAACTTTAAACAAAACTTTTTAGACTTTGAATATAAATTATTTTTCTAGTAAATCATTTTGAAACCTTTTTTTTTGAAACTTTTTAAAATTATTATGTAGATTTGTCTCACACAAAATATAGATGGGGCTCTTGCTTTTCAAATTGAAAATTTATCATAATAATTAAATAGTCTTTCACTGAAAAAATTTCTATTTGGTCTTCTTTAAGGTTGTCACTCTGTGATATGTCACGCCGTGATACTAATAGTAACATTTTTCATTCTAGCATAAGAACATTTATTTATTTTAAATAAATATTTATAAATTACTTTTAACTAAAATAGGCCAATAAATATCAATAGATATTTAAACTAAAATATTTTTAGTTTTTGTTATATGTGTCTCAAGTTTATGTCACGTTGTGACACGGCTTGGGATTTTTTAAAATTAAATTTTTAAAAGACTAATTTTTATAAAAATGTTATGCAAAAAACATGTTGGTTTAACATTTGTAGTATTTTCATTTGTGGATAAGTTTTGAAACTTCCTTTAATATAACTAACATTGTTTTTTAAAATTAAACTTGTAGGTGTACCTGTAAATATGTAAACATTTTACCAACACCTTTGTTATTTAATTTTTCTTAAATTTTGTTGCGCCATTGCTGAAGTTATTCTGAATGTTTATTATTTATACAATTCTTATAAAAAGTAAACTTTCACAAACAAATTGTTTATTTCTTTGTTGAAAGTAATGAAAATGCCTCTGACACATGCTGAACGCCAGAGAAAGTATAGAGATAGACAAATGCAAAAATTTGGTCCGGATTTTATAAAGGAAAAGGACTCGATACTGAAAAAGGAAAAACGAAATTCTAATGTTGAATTAGCACATTTAAAGGACAAATTAAGAAAAAAAAAAGTTTAGAGTTTCTTCATCTAAAATAACATCTAATATCTCTCCTGCTTACAAATCATCTTGTACACTTGGTAAAGCTGTTAAGCTCTTCCAACTTCTCCTCTTAAAAAAGCAACTGTTGTTAAACAACTTGCAACTCAGTTTAACAAAGATTTACCAGATATGCAACCAACACATGGACCTAATGCTCTTAATCATGAAATGAAGCTATGTGTCATTAGTTTTTTTGAACAAGATGGTATATCCCGTCAGGAACCTGGGGTAAGAGATACAATAGTTTTAAGCAGGCTTGGTCGGGAAGCGGGAGCGATCGCTCTCGAATACTGACCACGGAAATTATATTTAGTTGAGAAAAACTGGCCAGGTTTTTTAGTCGTTTTGAGAACATTTAAGTTTATGCACGAAACAAAAAATTTTTGTTTTACAGACATACATGAAAACATAATAAACTTGAATGTTCTCAAAACATCTTTGTGCGAAAGAATAAAAAAATATTCGCGAACACTTAAAACCCGCTAAATTAACGAAGAAACTAATTCTATTAGTTCAAAAAATACGCTGACTTAGCAAAATAAAGTTTTAGAGTATCCTGTTGAAATGTTTTAGAAATTGTCATATTCACGATTTGTTATGTTTTGAGATTTCTAGTTTGCAAGTTTTAAAAATTTATATTATTTGTTTACAAAAATAAATATTTTAAATATATATTAAACTGTCAAAATTTCAAAAGTTTATTATAAATTATAGATTTTATTAGTATATTCTTATTTTTTTATTTAAAAAGTATGTATTCTTTATGTAAATGTAATTTTGTGTATCTGTTTTTTATCGTAATGTATCTTTTAAAGCAATTTTTATGATTTAAACAAAGACTTACAAAAATAATTGCGTTTTCAATGAAGTTATAATCGTTATAGTTAAGAAAACTAATTATGTAACAAACATATAAAAAGTTTCTGGTTACTAAACACAAACAACGCATTCAAAGTAACTCGCAGATGAACAAGCACCGCGCCTGAGGTCACGACAGAACACAAATATATATATAGCAAATAATTAGATATAAAGAAAAGTTTCTATATATTGGTTTACCAACTCTAATTATTTTCGTTTAAGTTGCCATCCTTGAAACTCGTTATACTTTTTTCTGCTTTAAATACTAATTAAAATTAAAAAGCCCACTCACTAAACATCATCAGCGATATTGTGAAGCAGTTTCGCTTCCTCTTCAAATATGTTAAACTTTTCAAACTACGCGAAACATAAAATATGTATTGAAAAAATTAACTTTTTTATTTATAAAATTATTTAGCTTAAATAAAACTAAAACTTGCGAACTTTGCTAAATAAAGTGCATTTGTTTCTTTTTTAAACAATCGCAAGTTGTTACTTTATATAAAAGACATCGCCTAATTTTATAAAAAAAAGTACAAAAGAGCAATGTTTCGAAAATATTTTTTCTAATTGTAATTTATTTAGCTTGTTCTCAAAACGACTAAAAAATCTGGCCAGCTTTTCGTAACTAAATATTATTTACGTGGTCAGCAATCGAGAGCGATCGCTCCCGCTTCCCGACCAAGCCTGGTTTTAAGAAGTAATAAAGAAAAAAAGAAAATGCAAAAAAGGTATTTAACAATGTATTTAAGTGAAGCATATCAAATATTTAAAAACGAAGACACTGATTTTTCAATCAGTAAATCCAAGTTTGCTAGTTTGAGACCAGGCCATATACTTTTATCAGGCTTAATGCCTAAAAATGTTTGTTCATGTCAAAAACATGAAAACATTATCTTTTCACTCAAAGCATTACATTTTATCGATTTAAAAATTCCCCTTTATTTGTGTGCTTTACTAATACTTTGGTGTGTGACAAGAAAAATGATAATTTTTGGAATAATCTTTGTGGAAGCTTGTAAGGACAGAAAGTTATTTCTCAAAACATACAAATTAGGTGAAAAAAACCACGATAAAGAAATTACCTGGTACCTTTGGGAGAAAGTTACGCAACTTAATGGAACTTATTTCCTCGAAAAAGCAATAAAAAAAAACAAAGCCATAATTTTGAATAACAATGTGTGCAAATGCTACCTAAATTTTGCATTATTTTATAAAAGGAA